GCGCGTGCAACATGGGACAAGGACATCTGTTATCGCGTTTCACGTCACTTGACTTGTCTCATATACTTTTACACGTGCCAGCTTTAGAAAGAAGCATTATTCCTCGATTAATCTTCGAGAGTAGTCAGAACTTCTGCCAGTTTGACTAACACCGTATGTGTTGGGGTCTTAGCCAGGCAACAAGACACTGCTTAATAACAGGTCTTAAAAAACAATTAATTTCAATGAAAATCTTGGCATGAATGATTATTACTTCTTCCACGATAATTCTGTAGCAATTTATTGTTGGATGACTCCACAGAGACGAAGGAATGTTGCTGTCACGAGAGGGCAAACCTGACGGGGACTTGAGGGCAATAAATTGCCTTCCCCTTGGTACAGAGTGCTTCTAATCACAAGGAAGTAAGCTGCTGCATCTCACTGATACCAACCCCGTGAAATAGGACATTCATGCTTAAGAGGGATATTGTATTTGATAAAAGTCGTTATAACTGATCACGTTGGTCGGTTTATTTGTGCCGAAAGCTCAAAATCGAGGCCAGCGTTTACGGCCTTTGTTGCTGCAACAAGCGATACTCAGTCTGCAGTCATATTAAATGGAATGCGTGCTTGTATGGAATACGTGTGCAGGGAGAGAAGTACGGATTTGTCAGGGGTATTCACCTTGTTCGGGCAGTACCAAGAACGAGATTTAACTCCAGACAAAGTCATCTTCAGTTTCATAGAAGTAAAATATTACTTATTATTAAACGATATGCCGAGTTTATAGTGCTAGCCCACTGAAATACCATGCCGAGGTTTAACATGAATACCCTACTCAGACACAGTATACTGACTCCGAGCGAACCAGTTCTTATTTTAGCCTCTTAACACCGAGCGCAAGGCAGGGTAACAACAAGTACCATCTTTTAACGTATTTTTGGTATAAAGCGGCCGCGGATCCAATCCCTGACCTCCCGCTCTCCAGGCAGACGCTCTACCACTAGACCACGGTGTCGGTCTCAGGTATTAGGACGTCGGTTATGACAAAGTCGATATAACGAGGTCAGATATAATGAAGTCAGAGAAAATCAAGACGATTGAAGAGAGTCTGATATAATGAAGTGGATATAACGAATCAAAATACTAGAGTCAGATACAGCGAAGTGGGATATCATTAAGTCAAATATGAGAAAGTGCGATACAGCGAAGTGAACATAACAAAATGAGGTATTATGAAGTCGGATATTACGAATAGTCAGTTATTGCAACCTCCATCTCCATTCCAGGATCGGTAACGGATGCTAATATTGACGTGTGTAGCGTCCTTCGAACATACCAGCTGATAAGTTTCTTCTCCGACAGTGATGCTATGTGTGTCATTCACTGTTCATTCAACTTACTGGTATATCTTAAGGTTGGTTTGGTTGGTTTGTTGTTTAACGCCGCACTCAGCAATATTCCAGCTATATGACGGCGGTCTGTGAATAATCGAGTCTGGACCAGACAATCCAGTGATTAATATCATGAGCATCGATCCCCGCAATTGGGACCGATGACATGTATCAACCAAGTCAGCGAGCCTGACCACCCGATCCCGTTAGTCGCCTTTTACGACAAGCATAGTCGCCTTTTACGGCAAGCATGGGTTGCTGAAGACCTATTCTACCCCGGAATCTTCACGGGTCGTATATCTTAAGGATTAATGTACAGCGATTCATCATTGCATTACAAGATCTTTATTCACATGAATGCTACAGCCCAAAGAGATACGTTGTACTGTGAATGAATGAGTGAGTGAGTGAGTATGGTTTTACACAGCTTTTAGCAATATTCTAGCAATATCAAGGTGGGGCACACCAGAAATGGGCTTAACACATTGTACCCATGTCAGGAATCGAACTCGAGTCTTCGGCATGACGAGCGAACGCTTTAACCACTAGTCTACCACACCGCCCAAAATGCGATTATATATAATCCACATTCACATATCATTCTGATCTTAAATGACCAACATGCTGCCATGTCTAACCCTTCAGGTGAAAGTTATCAGAATCCATTGATGTATATGTGCCCACGTTTGGCGCCATCGTCTATAAATCTGAGTTCCGTAGAATTCTGACATCTTCATTCATTTGCAATGCTTCTAAAACCTTCCGATGCATAAAGCTCAGATTATGTTAACGACTGGATGTTTTTCTTTTCAACTGGTGAATCATCGGGAATTTGCACCGTCAGCACAGTTTCGTAGACAATACGAAACTTTATGTTTTAATTCCAGGTGTCAGTTGCCATGTGCTATTTATCTGTTTGTATTCTATTTATATCTGCATGTATGTAACAGCTGATCTGTGAACTGTTTGAATTCCATTGAAACTTCAGCTGAAAAGTAATCTGATGAAGAATCGTTAAAACCCAGTTGTGATGTGTTCTTCTGATATTGGATCCTTGTGAATGCGAAGATCTCTTTGTCATATTTTCACAAACGTTAAATAGATCTCATAATGCAAATGAAACACGTAGATAAGGTAAAAAATAGACAATCCCACTCGACATGAAATGTTTATCACTCGACAAAGTGCACGAAATAGTCAATTAAAGCAAGTGTACTTTTACATTTACTGAGTGTGAAGGTTATATTTCATAATAACAACTTATTATAACAATGTTATTCGTGTTAATTTTATGATGTTAGAGAGAACAATTTCTACCAATGTATTTATATCTATCCCCAGATCCAGTAGTTGTGTGCGTTATTCAATTTGATAAATCCACGTCATATAACATATCTTGCAAAGTTACTTCTTAAGACTTAGTAAGGATAGACAATGCTTTAAATCACCTGTATTGTGGGTGTTGCATCTTCGTGAATCTTTAACATATCTGGTATGGTTGAGATATTGTACGTATCTCTATCACTATCTATAATGACGTATTAATACAACTGAATGTATAAAAATAATATAATTATGTAGAAAAGGGCTGTGGTTTCTGTGCTGAAATAATCATAAGCATGATAAATATGTAAGAATCTGCCAAATCATCACAGAATGACCCCCAATCAAGTTATGAGGTACTCGAGTGGGGGTTATCTATTTGATGTCCCCGTGTATTATACAGTTATATCACATTTACTTGATTTCTCCATGTATTATACAGTTATATCAAATTTACTTTCTGTCCCCGTGTATTATACAGTTATATCACATTTACTTGATGTCCCCCTGTATTATACAGTTATATCACATTTACTTGATGTCCCGTGTATTATACAGTTATATCACATTTACTTGATGTCCCCGTGTATTATACAGTTCTTTAAGATGTACTTCATGTCTCCGAGTATCATACAGTTATGTTTCATTTATTTGATGTCCGCATGTGTACTACAGTTTTATCTCATTTACTTGATGTCCCCGATGAGACTAATACATTTACATCCAGGAATCGTTAGTTCGAGACAAGCAGCATGATCATATAAGACCACAGAGTCAATAACGGCTCCCTTCTCATAGTGTGTGAGTATTGTTTTACGCCGCCTTTAGCAATATTCCAGCAATATCACGGCGGGGAGACGAGAAATGGGCTTCACACATTGAACCCATGTGGGGAATCGAACCCGGGTCTTCGGCGTGACGACCGAACGCTTTAACCACTAGGCTACCCCACCTCCCCTTGTTCACATGGAAGTGCATTGTCTCAAACTGCCGGACAAAAGAAAGTACCACAATACACCCTTGTTTGATTCTGGCTAAATGTAAAACAAACAAAAATGGGTTTTCGATGGTGATATATTTATACAAACTACTCTAGCATCCCAAGCCACCAAAGCAATTTTAGCCATTTACTCTTTTCAAAGGAAAATTGGTAATATCACTTGTACAGATCGGTTTAAGGTTTTTGACTCTATGGTCACCCCCATCTCTACCTATGGCTCTGAAATTTGGGGTACATGTACTTGCTATTGTAAAAAAAATCGAATCTGTCCAAATCGCCTCTTGTAAGCATTATTTAAAAGTAAACAAATCAACCTGCTCAAATATGGTTTTAAGGGAATGTGGGAGGTTTCATTTACAACTCACTTACATGACTAAAGTAATTAAATATTGGTGCAGGCTCTTACATCTTCAACCCCACAGATTACCTTCCTAATGCTATTTAATGCTCAAATCTTTAGATGATGTGGAGCGGGTAACTTGGGCAACTAAAGTTAGAAATATTTTATTCCAATTTGGGTTTGGTTTTGTATGGCTCAATCAAGAGGTGGGTGACTCTAAAGCTTTTATTCTCCATTTTAAGCAAAGGCTCAAAGATAATTTACAGCAATTCTGGAGTGCTTCTGTAAACTCTTCTCCAAAATGTGATCTTTATAAGCATTTTAAATCCATGTTAAATGTTGAAAGGTACTTGTCATGTCCACTCCCTACCCATTTAAGAATTGTTTTTACTAAATTCAGATGTTCAAATTTTAAAATAGCTTTAGAAACTGGCAGATATAGTAAAACAGACCGTTCACTCAGATTCTGTAACTATTGTAGTCGTAAGGGAGTTAATGTCATTGAGGATGAATTCCATGTACTCTTTAATTGTAATTTATATTCTGCCCTAAGACAAAAATACCTTGTTAATCTTCCTATGCCTACTCATTACAGTAATTCTCATGTAATAAATATTCTTAGTAATTATAATGAGCAAACATTATTTCTAATTTGTAAATTCTTATATTATGCTCACAAAATAATTAATGATAAATTTTGTGCCCTGTAAATGTCCTGCTCACATGTCTGTATTTTTGGCCATTGGCCTTTTACTGAATAAAAATGTCTGTCTGTCTGTAATTGTTTGGACAAACCTAAGTGTGTACGTTTTTTTCGCCCTGCAGTTTAGATTAATAAAGATGATAGAGCGTTGATGAACAAGAGAACCTTGTACCAAACTGAAATGTTTCCAAAGCTTCATCTTCTTACTATGAATTTCATGTCTTAAAATAACAATAAAATGCATTTCTTTTATCTTTCCAGGGAAATGCGTTGGAAAATGGGCGATACATTCATGTTTTGGAGGTGAGTACACACGTATTACACATATCAAACTACACACATAAGCATATCAACACATATCAACTTCTGTTGGAGATTGATCACAAATGATGCGGACGTATTACGTGTGAGAATAAGGCAAGGACATTTTCATTTGTTGTTTGAAGTCACAGTCAGCAAGATTCCAGCAATATCAAGGCAACAAATTAGTAGATGCAGCTGGAGGCCCCACGTGACCAAGCCTGACCACTCGATCCATTGAGTGCTGGGGACCTATTCGGGTCCCAACAGGCCATCGCCAAGGAAACACGCGGACTACAATCAGGTTTACAGAAACGTTTGCTTATTATAATGGTTATAAGACCAGGTAAAACGTCAGGACACGCACATGCAAAACGATACCTCATTTGTTTTGAAAACATATTTTGTTGCCCAAAATACTGGACCAAAATATATTTGCCCCAGGTACAGAAAAAGTTTGTAATTTGTTTAGCTCCCACTAAAATAAATATATGAATTATCATGAAGCAGCCCCCACCCCAAAAAAATAGAAATAGAAAAGAATCTCTCTTACGAATTCCCATCTCCTCCTACAGAAGATTACATAAACGGCCCCTAACTACTAACTAATTTGAATTACGTTTGACGGAGGGCATCTGATTTATTGAAGTTGGTGTTAACATTAAAGTTCCGGTTTTCATGTAACACTTTATAGATCATATTTTCATGGATCGTCCACGTATGATACTATTGCTATTGCGTTGCCCTTGTGCATAATGCGCTTTGAAATCATTGAAAGCATCTTTTGGGGCAGAATAAATTATCTACCCAATAGAATGTTAATTGATACAAGATCGTTGGCAACGTAACCCACTCAGTTGTTTCGTCTTCGAGGGTTGATAGATACGTTCTGAGCCTCACATAGAACGAATTGCGTCGTAGCGAAATCTGTGTTGTGGATATTGGATGATGGTATACCCGCAACGACTTGAAGGGTAGTGATCAAGTACTAGTACTTGCAGAAAGACGGCTTAACACCAAACGCCATCGATGAAGATATTGGTACAACACAAGGGACGGATGACCCTTCCTTTGCCACCATAAAGCGGTTGGCAGAAGAGTTTAAGCTTGGAAGGGAGAGCCTTGAAGACGATCCCTGTCCGCTGAGGCCTGTCACATCAGCAACGCCAGAAATGATCCGTAGAAGTCACGATATGGTGGTCACGACCGGCGAATGACCGAACGTCATATTGCCAGTTCATTATAGGCGTTTCCCAGTTGAGACTACATGCTGTTATCACAGAAACTATAAGCTTTTTAGGTTCCAATGCTTCTGCTAACTGATAAAATAACGCATCACGCACAACATGTCTCGTGATGATCAAGCACTGTTTGAAGCTGACCAAGAAAGCTTTATGCAACAATTTGTGACTATGGAAAGCATGAGTTCAACACTTCCAAACAAAAAACGAAACAGTGGAAGCACCAGGAAACAGACTGTCCCATCAGCTGGAAAGGATATGGCCTTTGGTGTTCTGAAGATGCCGAGCACCCTCACCATGGTGGATTATCTTCCAAGGCCAGACAATAACTGGATGATATTATGCTGCACTTTTGAGGCACCTACCTGATGAAAGTAGGACTATGAGAAGCGGAAAGCAAAGGAAAAGATGCGATCTTCCTTTGGGACAACGTGCCAGTGCCCAAGTCAGTTATTGCCATGGCAACATTCCACGAATGTGGCTTTGAACTCCTTCAGCATCCACCTTATTCTTCTGTTCTGAGTGGCGTTGTACAAAACAACCGTAGCGCAACGACTGTAGTAAGTCTATGCTAAGGTATGGGTGTTACGATCACCTTAGGGCACCTTTGTATAACGGCACCCTGGCTCAGTCAAGACTTTCTTCTGTTCCCAAACATTAAGAAAACTCTAGTCGGGACCCATTGCGACTTGAACGATGGCATCATATCAGCTATGGAGAACGTTTTGTTCGGCAAAGAGAAGGACTTCTACGAAACATCCCTCCAAACATCGCTGGCAAAATTTTATCAATGTGGAAGGGAATCATGTTGAAAAATATATAATGTCTTCAGTTCAAATCGTTCAATATAAGGCTCAGAACATACTAATCACCCTTCGTACATAGTCAGGCAATGCACACCAAGGGACAAATATGAATTAACATCTAAAACTGATCATTTTATGTATGAATGCAACAAGCGATGAAGCCTGAAGTGTGAAATGACAGAGAGTTTGATTAATCAATGTATCCGATCAAGTAACAGAGTCTTGTCACGTCCAGTGTGTGGTGACAGAGAAGCGTGATGATGACTGTTAGTGTCGCTGCTGATTGACGGCGATGTAGGCCGATTGCTTGACGCCAATTACATGCAAGCCTTGGTCCTCGTAGGCGTTAATTAGCGCGATTGAAATAGTGTTGTCCTACTACTAATCTCATGTCATCAGTTTGATACAGGACAGACAGTACGACTAACTATTTGGGAGCTATTAAGATTTCACTTTTAGATTTGATTGGGTACGCATAGCCGTATGGGATTAATGCCTTTCGTGATTGAATCTATCATTCCGTTAACCAGTATTACTCTTGTCTGATGTCGGATCATGTTACCTTTAGAGGTTTTGTTCACAAAAAGTTAATGATGAGTAGCATTAAAACCAAATGATATTGGAAACTGCTACGGGAAATATTACGACAAACCCCTTTACCATAACATAAGAAATTTCGGCAAAAATCAGTTCATTGTACGATTCCGACTATATCGTATGCATGTGTTTATGGATCACTATCAAATAGCAATGATGCCATGTGTTCGCTAAAAGGTGAGCGTCTCCTGTCCCATCAGTGGCACCCGTCACAAACACATGTAACGGCAGGTCAAGTTTTCACCTGAATAAACACGGAATCATTCGTATGGTACAAAATAGAGAACTGAAGGTGAGAATACCCTTACATAAATGATGACTATTTGGAAAATTGAAAACTTTCTCTACAACTTAATAATTATGAAAAACATATAACATATTTGAAATGCGTATATACATTTAATTTAAAATTATTAACTATATGAATGTATACTGTTTCTTATCCTATTTATTCTCCTAATTTAGAAGAAACGGAGAACTCAAATCAATGTTATAATATTGTAGTTAGATGGACAGCTTTATTTCTCTTCGACGTTCGCCACCGATGATTTAGTGAGTGAGTTTGGTTTAACACAGCTTTAAACAGAGTATCAGTTATATCATAGTTTGTCAGCTTGATGTGGGGAAAAGCCTGATGTGATGCAGTTCTTGAACAATTACCACTTTGTTCAAACCCACGAGTGTAGATATGATGGTGATGACCACCGGTGATTGAACGAACTACTGACAGAAACTTCTACAGACAGCATAATACCATATCATTAATGGCCACACAAGTTGCTACAATCGCGAATAATCGTAAACTTATAGTGATTGCACCAAGATATTGCATGGCGATAGATATTATACGTGGATTACCCGCCAGTATTACCAGTCTCCAGTGATGCAGACCTAATAAATGATCACATAATAGTTCCTTAAGAAATAGTTCTCAGTCAATTTGACAGTTATATCCTTGTGCAGTCTAATGTATTACCATTACTCAGAATCTAGCAATCTAATTGGCTATTCGCCGTCTTGTAAAAACACATACAAGTCGGCTAGTCGACATGTATGGATATCACGACGTCATCATGCTTGACTTAAAGCCACTTGTTTGTCACGTCACAACTGTCTCTGCTCTTAGTTTGAGTTCCCATTCTGAATGCCGCCCAGTCTCTTGGTACAGAAGACCAATGAGCTCGTAAAGAGCCAACATTCGTCATTAACACATGTATCCAACAGCGAGTTTTAAAACAATGCTTTGGCCAAGAGCGAAAAAAAATCATACCCAAAAGATCTTTCGTGAAACTGCATTCTTTAATGCCCAATACAATTCACTGATCAAAACTGAAAGGTATTACAAAGTGTTATGAACGGTGAGTAAATGGGATTCTATATAGGGTTAAGCAACTTCGGGGTATTTTCGGCATGACAGGTCTTCAGCAACCCATGCTTGCCGTAAAAGGTGGCTATGCTTGTAAGAGGCGACTAACGGCATCGGGTGGTCAGGCTCGCTGACTTGGTTGATGCATGTTATCGATCCCAATTGCGTGGATCAATGCTCATAATGTCAATCACTGGATTGTCTGGTCCAGATTCGATTATTTACAGGCCGCCGCCAAATAGCTGGAATATTGCTAGGCGCGGCGTTAAACAACAACAACAACAACAACGACAACGACAACGACATTGCACCAGCGCGTCCATAAAAAAAACTGTCTTTCCAATTCAGATGTTTGGAACTCCGATTCGATACCTGTAAATTTCAATTTTTCTTTCATCAGCAACATGATTGTCTGAGGAAGATTCGATACTGCAGAAAAAAATAGGCTGAATTGTCATGACAGAATATGACAAGACAAACGCTGAACATTGATATGTACTCATTTTTTAGAAAAATATCCTTACGTAAATGTCAAAGTATGTTCATACTTGTACAGTGTCAATTCTTCGGGTTCATTTGCAAGTACATTGACCACTATTCTTGGCGTTAATGTAACGTTCCATGACGATATAAATACAACGATTTTGACACCAATAATCTGTTCCCACGACCTTTCAATCACCAACGTAGGCTGAGCACACGATTGGCCTTGTAATTGACGTATGTTGAACTCCCAAGTTCCCTGGAGAGGCTTGTGTATTGTCAGCAAGGACATCCAGCACAAAGAAGCTTCAGAAAGTGCCATGTTGAAGTTACTTCCCGCTTGGCCATCTGAATAGCGCCGACAACCCTTCACAATAAGTGAATCAGTTCATGTTAGAGCTAACATGATCATATGTACATTTTACCTTCTTCATTGAGCCACGGTTGTGTGTAACTTTCTATTTTACTATTTTTAATGATTTACCCTTGATAAACAAATTAACCCATTTT